AGTAGGATACTCCAAAATTAGAACTATTCACACTGAAGACATCTGAACGTATCTCTTAGTTGAGCAGTATTGAAGTCCTGACTGAAAGAAGATAGCAGGCTTCTCTTTAAAGTGTAGCAACAAGTAGTTTAGGTGACTGAGCTAAGTCCCTTTACCAGTAGTAGTAGTTGCAGGGCTGAACTATTCAGGCAATGGCCTGTTACGGTGGACTATAGCAGTCTAGAAGTAATAGAACTGAGCAAAGTCCTTTGCAGAAGCACCCGTTGGACAAGCTCTTCAGAACACCCATCAGTGTTCTCTTTTCTAAGACCCACACTGAATATCAAGCACCAGAGGGGTAGAGAAGGATACAGAGTCCCCATGATCTCTAAGTGTCTGTACTCACAAGCCCAAGGACAGAATGGTTGCCTCCTTCCAATATTCCAAGCAACTCTCTCCAGTGATACCAGACAGAGCTTTGGCAGACAGCTCCCCTCAGTCAGCGTACTGTAGGACCAGGGTCACTCTCTCTAACTTCAGGCCCTCAGGTCAACCCACCTGAGACTGCATGGCAACAAGTGCCAGGGGAGGCAGCCTGCTTCCATGCAATCCACTCCAGGGAAAGAATGAGAGCCCATGTGCTCCCAGAACATAAATACCACTCCCAGCATAAAATGGGGCCACCCAACCCCTTCAATTGGCTAGGGCTGTATCCATATTCATGCTGTTTATTTGTCTAGCTCCCACCCATGTTCTGGAAGGCTCTTATAGCTTCCTGAAGGCGGGCAGAAATCAGACAAACCCAAGCAACACCAGAGCATCATGAGCAGACCTAACTAACCAGTCACAGCACTCTGTTAAGCAGAGAGCCCAATTAGATTTTCCTACCAGTCACTCTTTTAGGTAGACAAACACCGCTGTGCTTTACCTAACTATACAAATCCTAAGGCCTGACTAGGAGGGTGACACATTTATAAATTCAGAACTGATTGTTGGATTTTATCTTTTTACTATTTAGTTTCTATACATACATTTTTGTATTTGTTAATAGTTGTGACAATATGATTTTTCATAGGGATTAATGACTAACTTTAATAGAGTATGATATAGATTTATAAAACTCAAGTTGGGAGCAGTAATGTTTGATGTGCTGTTTTTTCTTTACATTCCTTTTCCCTTTGACACCTGGTATCTTATTTGCAAAGAATATGAATGAGATAGTTCTCTCTTGATGTCCTGATATCTTTCTCCTAGAGAACACATTTATGAACACAAACATTATATTGTTTCCTGGGTGCTCACAGCCTTTGTTTTAGTGTAAAATATCCCTGTGTATCACTTTTCCGGAATATTAAGAACGGTTTATTATTTAGTATAGTGGAACTTTTTTATATTTTACTGTTATTAGATATTCTGTATATAGCCCCACAGAACAGATGCAGAGTCCACATGTGCTTTTCAGCTTCACTGCAACAAGGAAGCAGGGAACTTTCTTTAGAGAAAACATATAGAGTATACCATAGATGCAGCTAAAAAATTATAAACACTGCCATCTACTGGTTGAAGAATATATCTCTGCTAAATTCTGATGTAGTTGTTGCACAAAATACATGAACGCTGTATTCCAACACCCCCAGTCACCAGCTACTCCAAAGTCCCATCTCAGATCTCAGTTCTATAAATCTGTTTCTCATGGGTTGGAAATCTTTGCATCTCACCCCATGAATCTGGCTCTGGTTTTAATGCTATGCAAGCAACATAGGACAGATGTTTGGCTGGGATGCCTTTATTGCCTCTGGTGGATTTCCTGACCGATGCCTGGTTTCTTCTTTTACAGTATTTGAATTGTCTGTGTCAATTTCTATTTCTGTGTCACTTTGTTGCTTATCTTCATGTGACATTGTGGTGGAATTTTCTCAGTTTGAAGAGTTTGTGTTAGTTCAAGAAATTCTGAACACACTGAAGTTTTACCGACAATTATAATTCTACTGATAGTTACCCTGTTTGTGTCTTGGTGTAGAATTCTGTACCCCCTTTGAGATTCACTGTACCCCACAAGAATACGTCCCTTTTTGCAAGCATCCCATTTTGTACATTTTTTTCTTTTGGAATGCGCATATAGGCTTTGCTTAAAAAACTGTTTAAATGGTTAAAATTCAGGGTCTTCCCATTTCATTTCACAAGGAGTTTTCTCTGTTGATTTTGCTGGTAGTCGATTTAGAGATTTCAGCAATTCTTTCTGCAACCCCTTTTTTGTTCTGGGTTGTATAGTATGGTAGTTTAAAATATTATGCCATGCTTTCTGAGAATCACCTGGGTATTCAGTTCCATTATATGTGTGCAATACAAATGTGTTGCTTACTTGAGCCAAATACTGTTCAAGTTTCTCTGGTACTTCACTTTGGTTGTGTAGCACATATAGCGTAGTATACCTGGAGTCATCATCTATAAAAGTGAGAAAATACCTTTTCTTTCTGAAGTCAATTTTTCCATTGGACCACAAAAAACTAAATGAATGAATGAAGTCCAGCTGTTACTCTGCTTTGGAAAGGCTTTTCTTGTCCTTTTTCCCTTTATACAGCTGGTTCATTTAATTGTTTGATAACATGGACTAATTTTCATTCCACTTGCATAGTCATTCTCAGGTAATTTCTTTATTATGCCAGGACTTCTGTGCCATGTGTGATGGCAGTTTGAATGTTTTTCCTGCTTGGCAATATTAACCACTTCATTGCAGATCAGCTGATACAGTTCATCTGTAATTTTAGCCTTTGAAAACAAGATATCTCCTTTTGTGATGGCATAACTGTCACCTTGGAAGATCACTACATTGCACTGTTTTGTGAGATTCTTCACTGAAAAATATTAGTTTCAAGAGTAGAGACATACAGGACATTTTTCACAGGTATCTTTCTGGGGAATAGAACAGTAAAGAAAACTGTCTCCTATTCCTTCTTATTTCATTATTTGCCCATTAGCTGTAGTGATTTTTTTTTTTCTGTTTTATTGTGGCCAAGGTGAATAAGGAGATTTCTGTAATTTGTCATGTGACTCATAGCTCTTGAATCAACACACCATGCCTACAAAAATAAGGTGCAGCTTTTGGATTGAAAAACATTCATTATCTACAGAAAAATCAGTCTCTTCCTTCACAGTTTTGGCCTATTGTAGTTTAGTTTGTTTTCACATTCTAGCTTTCCAGATTCTGCAATCTGCTTTTAAATGGCCCTGTTTCTTGCACACTAAGCATTCATGTGTTTCTTGTTGCATGTTACTGCTTTTATTCATATTTTTAATTTTTAAAGCAGACTCTGCGACAGAAGCACCGTCTCTATTAATGCTTTCTGTTTTACACTTATATTCATCCACATACTTGCCCTTAACATATTCCAATATCAGTTCATCATCTGGATGTGCATCAAGTGTTGTGACTAGTATTTCATAACTTTCTGTTAAACTACTAAGTAATAGTGCTGCTACATTAAAAAGCTTTTATTTCTTCTTCTACAGTATACCTCTCAGCCTCTCAAGCATTCAACCATTTCCAAGGTGTGCCTTATGTAATCCTGCATATCCTGGCCTTTCATCAGCTTGGTTTGGTACAGCTTTCTAAGTAAATATTGTCGATTGTTGAGATTAGCTCTTTCATGCACCTTTTGCAATCCTTCTCACATTTCTTTAGCAGTTTCACACTTATATATATATATGTATGATTTGATCATCTTCTATGCTGAGAGATTGTGCTCTGAGCTTTCTGATGTTTTTCTATCCATTCATCTGAAGGGTGTTCTTGGCTGACTTCATTTATACATTTCCATGTACCTTCTCTTATTAGCAGCATTTTCATCTTGAATTTACAAGACTGACTTACAAATGAAAGCTTTGTTTCAGCTGTGTTACAGGCCATTTTCTTTTATTCTGTTGCAATATTCTTTCTGTTACTGTATCTTGCACTTATTTGCTGAAGTCAGCTATGATTGGGCCCTTAACCAATTAGAAATTCTGTATATAGCCCTACAGAACAGACAGTGCAGAGTCCACATGTGCTTTTATGCTTCACTGCAACAAGGATGCAGGAAAATTTATTCAGAGAAAGACATAGTTAATACCATAGATGCAGCTACAAACTTATAAACACTACCATCTACTGGTTGAAGAATATATCTCTACTGAATACTGATGTAGTTGTTGCACAAAATAAATGAACAATGTATTTCAATGACTTTTGACTCTAAATGTACTATACCTAAATGTACTGGCATATTTAGTAAGGTTCATACTCCAAGAATGTTTATTTCTACAATAAAAAAAACACAGCCAGTACTATACGGGTAGCACAGTGGCTAAGTGGCTATCACTTCTGCCTGGCAACACTAGGGTCGTTGGTTCCAATCACAACCACGGCACTACCTGCACAGTGTTTGCATGTTCTCCCTGTGCCTGTGTGGGTTTCCTCCCATACTCCAAAGACATGCTGGTAGGTTAATTGGCTCCTGTCTAAATTAGCCCTGGTGTATGTATGTGAGTTAGGAACCTTAGATTGTAAGCTCCTTGAGGGCAGGGACTGATGTGAAGTGATAAGTAACTTAAATAAGTATTGTATTTTAGAAAATGGTTGATTCAAAGAGTTATACATATGCAGCAATGAATGTGACATTCACCAAATATTCACTGCAGGTAAATCAATCTGTGTAATTTAATACACATGCACCAGAAAGGTAAATCTGCAGTGTACGTTTTACAAATATGCCCCTAAGGCATTTTTTCCAAATAACAGCAACTATGAAAACTGCATACCTTGGAGGAGACTTGCTAAATTGGTGCACACAGAATTTGGTGCAGCTGTGTGCAGTAAACAATCCGCTTCGAATTTCAGCGTGTTCAATTAAACTTTGACAATAAAAACCTAGAAGCTGATTGGTTACTATGCACAGTTGTTCCAGATTCTGTGTGCACCAGTTTTAGTAAATTTTCCCATTATATGCTAAATATATTGGTTCTAATTAAATATAATGCATGCTCTATTTAGATTTGGAGTTTTCTTTCATAGATGTCTTTTGGAATGAACGAGTTGAGACTGCAACACGACAAGATAGTTTCCGGGCCATCCGTGCTATATAGGACATGAAGATCAGGACCACCACTGCAAGTCCATTTATGTACAAGTCCCGCACAAAGAATCTTTTGCATTTGATTGGCCATGGTCTTCCACACCTAGGTATTTCATTCCCTGTCAGGTCTTGGAAAGCCTTCATGGATGCAGAGTGTGGAGTTGCACATTGCACCTTTGCAGGGTTTCTCTGCACAGGTTGGGAATCAAACCACGCTTTCAGGTAAAGGATGCTGCAGTCACAATTCCAAGGGTTCCCAGAGACATCAACTTCTTGGAGGCTAACCAAATGATCCAAAGCTCCTGGTGGAACAGTAGTCATGAAATTGTTTTGCAAATAAAGCTTCACTGTTGTAAATGGAAGATCTGGCACAGTTATGAGATGCCTCGAACTGCAGTTGACTATTAGTCCATGGGTCTCAATTACACCGCAACTGCAAGAGGTGGGGCATGAATCGATACTACTTTCACCAAACCCAACTGAAAGAAGTAGCATGAGAAACCAAGACATTTTGCTCTACAATGCCTGAAAGACAGAAGATTAAATATAGTTTATCATAAAGCTTTATAATATTATTTTAAAACACTTTATTATTATAATTATAATACCATGCCTATTTTGTTGCTGCTTATGTCGAAACATGTAAACACTAAACATGAAGACATCACTTCAATGATAGCTTGTTACACCCCCGTAGTTTCCAGAACATTTTTCAGGTTTCAGTGCTTTAATAATTTAACTGACAATATTTTTAATTGACAATTAATCAGTCACATAATAGTGTACCACATTAATTTTATATAATTTTTTGAACTTTCAGATTGAGCCTTTGGGGGGTATTTAATAACCACAGTTTTTTTTTTTGTAACTTTAGGACTGTAAAGCTTTATTTTTTAAATTAAAATAACTTATACTTACCTGTTCTGCGCAATAGTATCGCTCTGTGCAATTGCAGCCTGCTATGGGGCCACTTATGTGGGCCTGATGCTGACCCAGGCTGTGTGCATCTATAGATACATAGAGGATAGTTCAGCCCCACCCCCACTCCCTCCCCACAGTATTTGACTGATAGCACAGCAGGAGAATGCAGAAAGGGAGGAGAGCAGGTCTGGTGGTTGGGACAATGCTGGATCAAGAGTGGTGTCAGTTAAGTGTTTAAGGGCGGGGGCACAGACACATGAAGGTTTTAACCACTTCAATACTGGGCACTTTTACCCCCTTCCTGTCCAGGCCAATTTTCGGCTTTCAGCATTGTCACATTTTGAATGACAATGCGCGGTCATGCAAAACTGTACCCATGAAAAAAAAATTCTCTTTTTTTTACACAAATAGAGCTTTTTGGTAATATTTAATCACCAATGAGGTTTTTTTGTGTTTTTTTTTTTTTACTTTTGAAAAAAAAAATGTTTTTCTTTATTATTTATGTTATATAAAAAAAGTTTTTTGAAGTTGGCGAGTTTTTTGCAGCTGCAATTTTTTGTCACAATTTGTTTTAAAATGAAGAAATTAAAAAATAAAAAAATCACTGCAGCTTGATAAAGGAGCGCACCCCTGGTTAGTGCACAATGCTCCGAAATGTCGTTGCATCACTTCCGGTAACGCGGTTACGCCGTACACTTCGCTCCATCTGCGTTCCACCACAGTACACAGCGGTCCTCCGGTCCCATCCTCTGACTGCCGGCTTCCGGACCTAGAAACTGGAAGCCTGTACCCGCAGAAGATGCTAACCGCTCCTGGATGCCATTGTATTGGACTGCAGATGTGCCTTATTTTATCCTTCACAATGTGAGTGTTCATTCACACTATTGTTTACAATTAAAGTATTAAAGGTCTGCACTCAGTGGCACCTTCTTTTATTCCCTTTTTACAAACTGATTCATTCAGTGTTTTGTTGTGATTAGCTGTGATTGGCCAAAGCTCATCACATGGTACAGATGGGCTGTGATTGGCCCTGTCTGTACCATGCGACCAATGTGACCAATCACAGCTAACAAGACAATTATATACAAGGGATGGCATGAAAGAAAGTCATCCATTGTATACAATTGTCATGTAATCACATGACACTGGCAGTGAACCGGAATAGTGAACACAGCCGGGGACAGATCGCGCAGCTGTACGGACCCACATGAGCGTGCCTTCTGACAGGATGTTACATGACATCCACTCAGAAGGAGCAGAGTCCCACCAGTCAATTTGCTATAGGCTGGATGGGAAGGTGTTAAAAGGAGAGAATGCATTAAGGAGAAAACATTTTAAAATGTATGAACCCTGATGTACTGACTGACTAACACATTTCTTGAGGACCTAAAATGCCAGGACAGTCCAAACACATTCAAAATAACTCCTTTTTGCAAAATAGACACCCCAAGGTATTTAGTAATATTTTGAAGATCTACTTTTTTGTCACACTTCTGAAAACTGAAGAAACAGACATTTATTTCACAAAATAAAGGATTATTTCACAAAAATGTAATTTTAACATTTTAAGTTATTTCTATAAAAAACATGCCTATTGTTAGAATTATGCTGGAAAGCACATTCTTTTATTCTTCCTAAATATTGGGATACCACATATGTGAGACATTTTTCCTGCATAGTTGCAAAGAGGGTCCCAAAATCCCAGGAGCACCTTAAGGCATCCAAAGGGCATAAAATATGCATCTGATTTCCTGTATACCTATTACATTTTCAGAGGCACTGGAGAGCAAGAGCAGTAAAAACTCCTTCAAAATTACGCCATTTTGCAAAGCAGACACCCCAACACATAGTAAACCTTTCCAAGATTTAATTTTTTGGTTCAATTTTTTGAAAAATGAAGACAAAAATGCAAGACTTTTCATTTTATTTCAACATTTTTATTAAAAGATTGCAAACTGACAATTAGATCAGTCAGAGGTCGTTTCACAGAATATCATTATGACAGAGAATGAAAATTCAACATCTAATTAGAAATCTTAAGGTGACCCACTGTCAGATGAGCAGACAATCAAATTATTATGATCTCAGACATAAATCATATATAAGATAGAGATAATGACAATCAACAAAAAACTAAATAATGCAAGCCCAGCCCATGAGGGACCAGAAAGAGTTTTCATTTTAATAAGATATTTCTTATACCCCAAAATGCATGCTGCTTCTCATGAGTATAGCAATTCTGCAAGTGTGAGACTTTTAGGGGTTTATTTACTAAAGTTGGAGAGTCCAAAATCAGACTCCCTTCTGCATAGAAACCAATCAGCTTCTAACCTCAGCTTGTTCAATGAAGCTTTGGCAATGAAACCTGGAAGCTGATTGGTTTGTATGCAGAAGGGAGTCTGATTTTGCACTCTCCAGCTTTAGTAAATAAACCCCTTAGTGTCTGTACCTGACAGTTATAGCACCTGCCAATAACACACTTCCTGTTAGTAGTGTGACAACGCTCACTGCACTGTATCTGTGGAGAAGCAACAGTGTCACACCAGGGCTGGAAATGTGTTGGGACTACAAAACACCTCAGCCTCTGCTCTTCTCAATAACACGGGGAGGTGTTTTTGAAGTTCCGAGTCTGACTGATAACATTGCTTATGTACAGTTAACATTTTAAAAAATCAGCACAAGGGACAGTATTTACATTCAACATGAAGAGTCCTTTGTGCTGCTGGCTGGTCTCTTAATTGAAATGCAATATCCTCTGCCACCCCCGCCCCTCAGACCCCTGTCATAACCCCACAGCCGTAATGTTCTAGTGCTACCAGGGTCAATATCTTCAGCTGGACCTGTCATAAACATTTGTCAAGAGTGCCGACAATGCCTGCCCTTTTCCCCCCCCCCCCCCCCCCCTTATTCCTATTTTTCTATTCTCAGCCCATTCTGGTCCGGTGACATGAACCAGCTCCCCTGTGCCAGTCAGTGGAGGCTGCAGAGGAGAAGAAGGAGTGCCATAGATGTTGTCTTTGCTCCAGTCATTCCCAGTCATTGTTGATCACTGTCTCTCCTCTCCCTTGCAGTCACTGCTGGCTGACACAGGAGGTCAAGTAACTGGACCAGAGAGGGCTGAAAATAGGTGTTAGAAGGGCGGAGCATTTTTAAGCAGGTCTTTGAGCCCCAAAAAATAGGCAAGTGGTGTCAGCAGTGGCACCCAAATGTGAAAATACTGAGAAGTGGATTCTTCATGGATTCAATATTTATTCCATCTAGAATAGTATAAAAGACTATTTAACACTAGTGATGTTTAGCCAGGAATTCTGCTTTAATGATAACAGTACAGCAGAAGTAGAGTTTACTGGAACTTAAGAGCTGTCTAGATTGCTGGCAGGATCACCTTATCAAACAGATGCTGGCAGGATCACCTTATCAAACAGATATAACAAAATGCTTTTCATAGTATATACTTAAAGTCAGAAAATGAAGTCCTGCTAGATCACTTAAGACTGGTCCCTTTTGCAGATACTGTATATGAGGTGGTATCAAAAGGTTTTGAGACTAGTTTTGTAACATGCCAACAGATGGCAGCACAAGCTGCACGCACAGTCACAGTGAGCACCGACCTTCACAAGTCAGTGTGCAACTGGGTGCTATTTTGACCACATCTGCTATTTCATCATGAACAGTAAGTTTGAACAAAGAGCAAACAGGAAATTCAGTGTGAAACTGGGCAAAACTGCCACAGGCATTTGACATGATTCAGCAAATTTACAGCAATGCTACAATGAGTTGTTTTGAGGTGTTTTGAGTGGCATGCGCACTTCAAGAGCAGAAGAACATCACTGCAAGATGACGAGATAAGGAAGACCTTCAAGAAGCTCAACCCTCAAAAATGCTCTCTTCCCGAAGATGAAGATCCAGCTCAAAAGTTGCTTTTTTGAAAACATTGAAGAGATCCAACAATTTGCCCAGTTTCACGTAGAATTTCACATTTGCTCTTTGTTCTAACTTGCTGTCCATGACGAAATAACAGACGTGGTAATGCACAAGGTCAGAATAGCACCAGTTACACAGCTCCCAATGTACATTGGACAATATCTTTTTGCACACTGAATTATGAAGGTCTGTGCTCCCTGTGACTGTGCGTGCAGCCTTGTGCTGCCATCTGTTGGTGTGTTACCAAACTAGTCTCAAAACATTTTGATACCACCTAGGAGCTACAGTGGGGATCGAAAGTTTGGGCACCCCAGCTAAAAATTTGTATTAATGTGCATAAAGAAGCCAAGGAAAGATGGAAAAATCTCCAAAAGGCATCAAATTACAGATTAGACATTCTTATAATATGTCAACAAAAGTTAAATTTTATTTCCATCATTTACACTTTCAAAATAACAGAAAACAAAAAAATGGCGTCTGCAAAAGTTTGGGCACCCTGCAGAATTTATAGCATGCACTGCCCCCTTTGCAAAGCTGAGACCTGCCAGTGTCATGGATTGTTCTCAATCATCATCTGGGAAGACCAGGTGATGTCAATCTCAAAGGTTTTAAATGCCCAGACTCATCTGACCTTGCCCCAACAATCAGCA